TCTTTTCGGCATCTGAGAAACCGAGCGACAATGAGGCCATTTTGCGCTAGAAGCTAACAACCACTGCTAGTATTTTAGCACTACCGAGAGCCAAAAAAACTACATTTTTTGACAGAACGTTAGCATAACCCTTTGTAAAACCATAACAGCACATTTGAACATGTAGTTTATAACAGCTTTTAGAGGCGTAATTTCATAATCACTATTTTAAATTAGACTATTTAAATCAAAAGTAATGTTTTATGGTTAAATGTCCGGCACAAGTATTAAAAGTAAAAAAAGAAAAAGATTTATAAGAAAAATGTAAGCCATTTTAGAGAGCTCCATGTGAAGTCATGCAGGAAATGCCAGCCTATTTATGTGAATGGGAAGAGTAGACTAGTTCAGACATATCCCTGGGTTTAAAAGTCCGCTTTTAATGGTTAAAAAGATTGTTAATGATTATGTTTTATATAGTTACTTATGTCTCTAAATGTATGTATGTTACAGAGCTAATTAGTCTTTAGCGAGCATCCACCGCGCCACCGGGCAGCCTCCTCCTCCCCTGCCCCAAAAACACGACTTTTCACCGCGGTTTTTTGGGGGGGCTTCGTAAAGTTCCCTCCGTCTCCTTCCAGACAAACACTGAGCTTCAGATTATTACAAAAACGTATTCTCAACTCACCTCGCGTGTGTTGTGTTATTTTATTCCCGGTTCGGTCATAGGGAAAGAAGCGCTGATCGTGTTCGGATGAGATCATTCACGCCACGGCTTCAGACAGGGAGCTGCGGCCGCCGTGTGCTGCTGCTGCTGCTGCGGTGCGGAGGGCTGTGAGGAGCGGTGTGGAGGGAGGAGGCGCTGGGCTCAGAGCTCCGGAGGAAACGGGAGGGGGAGGGGAGGCGCACGCGCGCACACACACACACAAACATAGACACACACACATACACACACACGCGCACACACACGTACGCACAGACTGTAGTGCGCTTCTGACTGGGATTCCTCTACCAGGGCCGGGACTGCAGCTGCACAGGAGCCGAGCACACAGCAGAGGAGAGGCAGGGGGCCCCAAAGAAAAATTGTAAAATAGCTAATTAAAAACACATATACATTCTCAAACAGAAAATAAATAACATGATTTGTGCAGTTTATGGCTTTCAAGAAATAAGTGTAAATTAACAGGGAAAGAATGGCCAATTCATTTCTGACTAATGTCTGACTAATAGCCAGGTGAATTATTGCAAAATTAAATTTATCTTAAGTAAACTAAATCATGTCAAAATCTCAACCACACCTTGACAAAAAATAACAAATTACCAAACTGTCTTGAATTTCCCATTGTATGATATTTATTTATTTGTCTATCTTTCATTTAATAATAATAATAATAATAATAATAATAATAATAATAATAATAATAATAATAATAATAATAATTCTATGTAGCGCTTTTCTAGATGCTAAAAGTTACTTCACAATTTTGTGCATTATTTATTCACTGGTAAGATACTCTTGTAGCCTGACGGGAGCAAGACTGCAAATCTGCAACATCTGAACACAAACACACAAACACACGCACACACATACACACACTAGACAAAGTGGATGAAGTGCCTTGCCTAAGGACATACTTTGACAAAGAGATTTGGCCAAATTTATTCAATTACATGTATGCTTATTGCCAAAAAGGCTTTTGGTGCAGTCACCTGCTTGTCTCCATGGAGAGTGATAAGCTTTATGCCATGTTGTGGAACATACCGGACAAAACAACATGCAGAAAATAAGTTTTCGGACTTGCCACCTTAAAAATGTACAAAGTGATGCTTCAATGTAAAATAAAACTCTGAAAAGGAACACTGGGAAAGATGTTGTAATAGAATCCAAATTGAATCAAGTCAGTTACTCATGTACAATAAGCATAGCACAAACAGTGCATTCACATGAGGAACAGCACTCACATGGGTATCTTATTATAAATTCAATAATCATACGCAGTTGTTAAAAGGAAGTAAAACTTTGTTTACTATTGTATCTCATTTATACCACCAGATGAAGCTGTTGCAACCTCAATGATTTCTCTCAAACACACGTATACATAAAATACAGTCTGTGCTCAAACACCTATTTTTGTGTTTTCCTAGAAATGGATTTAAATTAAAATGAGACTTCAAAAAGTACAGTTAGGACTTATATGATACATAATGATGATGTTCAAACACAGATTTTGAGAACACTGGCAGGCTGTTCTGTTTAATGCAATTCACTGCCAGTTACATGCAGTCCAGTATGTATTCAGTTACAAGTGTTTAGGTTTTTTCATGCTAAAAATATACATTCTTACAGGTTACCTCTCCACAGCTCTGATTCGTAACTTGGCCTGGTGGGGTCATGTGCTTGTCTCCATGTAGATAGATTATTTTTAATGCCATACTTGGAAACATTGAAAACAATAATATCTATATGGAGACAAGCAGATAATGAAACTCCAACAGCACCTATAATAACATATATAAAAACAAATGGAAGCCAAACACTAAATTACTCTTCTAATTTAGTTAAATAGCTGTACTATAACCATCCATCCATCCATCTCTATAATAATACAATGTTGTCCCAAAAAGTTGAGTTTATTTTTTTAAAGGGACCTTTTACAGGAACATTAACCAAAGAAAATATTGAATAGATAGTGTCCATTGTTCATTATGAAAAATAAATATGTGGTGTTTTCTCTCAAATGAAACAGCACTTTAATCAATGCCTAAAAATACAGTAATAAGTAATTTATAGAATAAACTAATCTATTAATGAAAAACACTGCTACTGGATGTGACTTTACACCCATCAGTGACATTTAGGAGGTGCTGGAGAAAACGGGCCTCCAGGATCATAGTGGACCCTTCGCACCCTGTTTGTCCTTTTGCCCTCTGGGAGGAGGCTGAGGAGCATCAAAGCTAGAACAACCCGGTTGAGGTCCAGCTTTTTTCTTGAGGTTGTCAGACATTTGAACAGTGCACACTGACGTCCTGCTTAAACTGCCTCTCTATCTTGCCACATGTTCTACTAGTACTTGTCTGTTGGAACTGCTAAATGCTCTTGAAGTGGTTTTTATTATATTGCTTATTTATTATTTATGTTTTTATCTCTCTTCATCACTGGACCTCGAGGAACACATTTCGTTCTGTCATGTGTTTCTCTCGCATGCTTGAATGACAAATAAAGACCGCTGAACCTTGAAGCTTTATTTATTATTTTAAAGTTAAGTCATTTATGGAACCCTTCTTCAGTTCTTTCGTGTTTCTGGCCGGACATATTTCAGCAGCCTGTTTCCACAAAGTTCCGTTCCTTTCGAGCATTTTCTGCGCTGTGCAAATACCGGAGGAGCCGACGCTTCTGGAAGCAGCGTGCACCGACATCCACCGGCGACAGACCTGCCCCGAGCGGCCCACCTGCCACCGATCTGCTGTATTTACTCACCCAACACCATGGCGAAATGGGGAGAAGGAGACCCGCGGTGGATTGTGGAGGAAAGAGCCGATGCCACAAATGTCAACAACTGGCACTGGTGAGAACATGGAAAAAAGGACACGGGATGTTAGCACTGTGGCTAATGCTAAGTGTACAGTCTGGGCTCGTTTTACTGTAAATTAAACTGTACATTGTCGTGCATCTTTTTACGCAGTGCCTAGTTCACGTTGTCTCGTAGCTATTAAAACATTGGACAGGTAATAGGTTTGTAATTACGCCGGATGGATTTGTGGAAAGTAAACATTTATGAGCTAACCTCGTCTGCTGTTAGCTCCGGCGGCTAACTACAGCTGAGTGGAATGAATAGCGGCTAAAGTTATTACAGCACGTGTCTCAGTGGAAGAAATGAAAGTGTAATTAAAAGCTTATAACGTAGAGCTTTTGTTTATAAAGATTGTCTATGTGGATGTCATTGCGTATATTAATTATTTATTCTATATTTGGTCAGTCTTCTGTTCGGTTCTAGATGGTTCTCTTCTCCACAGGAACACAATGCCATATTACTCAATACGACATGATCGAGCTGGAGCTTTGGTTTTTAATCATCTCAAGCTATAAACGTGTACAATTGAAAAGCAACGTTTTTGTTTTTTTTTCTGTTTTGTTTGTTTGTTTTTTCTCGATGCTTGCCTAAATTAAATCTATGCATCTTGCTCACAGTGACCAGACGTCCCTATTTTCACGGAACAGTTCCAGTTTTTAGCCCTGTGTCCCATGTTCCAGCAGAGTTATCCAAAACCATTTATTTAGTTTTATTCAAAAAATGTCTCAGTTACCCCTGACAAAATTAGATTAAAATTAATCAGTAAAATATTTATTAAATTCTCACCAAGAGTAAAGAGGGGTGTGCTTGAGATGAGTCTGTCTGTCTGTCTATCTGTCTATCTGTTTAGCATCTGAAATGAAAAAATGCGCCAACAAAAGTCTATACTGACCCACAAGTGAGTCAGGAATGGACAATGATATGTTTTTTTCATAATTTTATTTAAACCACCATCCCAACCCGGGTGTGTCCCAGTTTTTAATTCTGAAAACCTGGTCACCCTATTCTTGTTTCAGTAATAGAACAGCACGTGTATTGGAAACAGTCTCACTTCCTAATATGCATTATTGTACAGCCATTGTATCGTTGGCTGTAAAAATGACAAAAGTACCAAAAAGTACCACGCTTTCCTTCACCATAGCTTCACTTTTGAACTGCTGAATAATACAGTGGTAGTGACGGTAAATTCTCAAATGTGTCCTTAACTGCACCTTATGCCCTGGAGCAGCTCTTTTCTTAGTGAGATCTTCATGAGGCCATTACTTACATAGCTGATGTCAACAAAAGAATTCAACAGTAGACTCAATTGTGTGTGTTTATTTGCTTTGGAAGATAAGAGGTGCTTCTCCTGTTCTCTCATTGTTATCTGTGTTACTGTTACACTTTGAAATTACATATTTGTTTAACTGAGACTTGAAATAAGCAAACATAAGCAAGGGTTTTTTGTTTTAGATTATAGAAGACATTTTTAGATTTAGCTTAAAATACTGAAGGCACGCATAACTGTTAATATTGCAACAGAAGATTTGATATTAATTGAATCTGAATCAAGATGGAGATTCAGTTTATTTGTCTTTTAACTGTGGTTTATAGTTAGTCCTCTATCAGTAAAAACATCTGGTTTGGAGCAGAGTTTTGTGGAAGAAACTTGACAGTATTTTGTGTGAAATGTGTAACTTTCCCGGTGGAGGGCCTGTTAACTGCTTGTGTCTGTGGAGATGTTATTGCTTTGTCTATAATTTTCCAAAATATGGCATTAAACTTCACCAATATCCATAGAGACTAGCAGGAGACGCCACCAGGCTAATTTACAGGTGAGATGTGTGAAGCGGTGACCCTGCTTACAGTAAGAATTTTTGTTTTTAAAGGCATTTTTGAGCAGTAAAACACCCATAGTTGAATAAACCATATTGTGGAACATTGCAGGCAAAGCAATAGCATCTCCATGGCATGCACCTTTAAAACCTTTGTGTGTTTTTTTGTTTTTGTTTTTTTCCCCAGCACTAACTGAACTGTATTTATTCTTAAGTAGCAATATTCTTACAACTATTTACTGTCATTCAATAAGTATAAATGTAAATATTTAATGAGAAACTGAGTATATTTATTGTTGTTAAGATAACAACAAAATATGCCCAGTAAAGATCTTTTTGTTTGGGTCCATCACCTTCTTGTTTCTATGGAAATGTCATTGTTCTGTTTGGAATGTCCCACAGTATGACATTAAACAGCTCTATTTTACATTTATTTAATTACAGCTGGTATTATAACTCAGAAATACCTACAAAAACTGGCAGACTGTGAGTGGGGTCACCTCTCCACAGATCTGACCTGTAACTTTACCTGATTTGGGCTCCATGAAGGTGGAAAATTTAATGCCATACTGTGAAAGATCCAGACAAAGACAAAATAACGTCACCATGGAGAAAAGCATTTGACAGATCCTCCACCAAACAAGTTATGCAGTGCACCTTTCAATCAATCCATTTTCTCTGATGTTTGACTTTCAGGACTGAGAGAGACGCCACAAACTGGTCATCAGAGAAGCTGAAGTCGCTGCTGGTGGGTCTGAGCGTGGAGAACGAGGAGGGGACGTGTGAGATCACAGAAGTCGGTAAATGTGATGGAGAGGCTTCAATCAACAACCGTAAAGGCAAACTCATTTTCTTTTACGAATGGAACCTGAAGGCAACATGGACCGGTGAGTAACTCTGCTGTAGCTGTTTAGTAAAGCCAAAGAAACTGTATTAAAAAGTACAATTCATGATGTGAATGTTTGTGTGAATTACAAGAATAGATTAGAGTAATTTCCATAATTTTACTTTGGATTATTGAAAAGGTAACTGTAGAATTGTTTGTCTAATACAGACAACTGGGAAAAAAAAGTCAGTACAGCAAGTCAGCTTGATAATGTACAAGTGTTAATGAAAAAAACGTACTAATCTCTTTCTAATAGTCTTACTTAAGGTTACAGTGTTTCCCACAGATTCATACTGACTCTGATTATTTGAATAATTTTATAGAATACATTTTGGGGGGTAAAGATGTAATTTATTGTCTCTACTAATTAAAAAAAGGACTGGCTAAAGATGAAGTTACTTCTATGTATGTTTTGCAAAAGGTATTTTAATAACAAAGTTTTGCTTTGCTTGTTTTTAGACTTAGGGGGTCAAAAATTAGACTGGGGGGCACTATAGTTTCTTATTAAAGGGAAACACTGGCTTACAACAAAAGCAAGGCAAGTTTATTTGTAGCACAATTCATACACAAAGTAATTCAAAGTGCTTTACAGAATAAGAAATACATTAAAATCACTATACAAACAAATCAAAACATAAATAATCATAAAATTAAAAGAGAGACATTAAATGAGAGAAAACTGAGTCAAAGTAGAGTCTGTTTCACATGTTCAAGAAGACTGTTTCAGGTTTTAGCTTCAGAAAACTGAAACACAGACTCTAAGGATTTAGAACACCTTTTTAATCATAGCATTTTTACTATTTACAACTGAAATTGTATAAGATCAAAAGAGCTCAATTTTTTTTTTTATATATAAATAATGAGAAATAAAAAATGAAACACACAGAACTGAAAACAAACATAAGAGCTTGTGGAGGTACATGTCTCGGAGATGAATTTAGAGCTGTTTCTCACACAGACACAAATTGTAAAAAATCAGTAAGGGGTTGCCACATTTTCTAAAATTGTTAGTTTATACTGTATTCTGTCTAGATGTCAAGTTTTGCAGTTTTTTTTTTTTTTTTTTTTTTTTTTTGGTAGTTTAACATAATCAAGTATACCGATACCAAGGCAGGGGTTTAACTGGGGATATAAAAATTATACAAAACTATCAAAAATGATCAAAACAATACATACGATATTAGAGCCCGACCGATATATCGGCTGGCCGATATTATCGGCTAATATGGGCACCTGGAGACATATCGGCTATCGGCCGTTATACTTGCTGATATGGGCCGATATTTCACGTGGGCATGTTATACCTCGTTATAAAGCTTAGACTCTCTACATTATGTTCATTTAATCCAATTTACAGACAGATAAATGTCCTAATATGTGGCTCCGCATAAGTATTTATCTGCGGTGTAATTTGTCTTTGTCCGTACTGTCCCTGAACACACCACCAGAGTGACGTCACTTCACTCGCGTGTGTTTGTTTACACCCGCAGCCGTGCGCAACATTGAGATTATATTCTTTTTCGGACAATCGGTTTGAGTCTGGATTAAAAGGACATTTATTAGTGCAGACTTGTGATGTGAGGTGAGCGGTGAGTGTTGGAAATACATCGACTTTGAAGCTAGTTTAGGTTTTGTTAGCGGTTAGCTGCTGTAGCTCCCACACATAAACAGGCTGTTTTCTATTGGTCTGTTGTAAAGTGACTACATTGGCCGTATATTTGTTACTGGACCTGCATTGATATGTAAATGAGCTGTGAATAGACGTGTGAATGATCCACATTTATGCATATAATTAATTACCGCGGTGCGCAGCATTTACGGCTAAAGGCTAATAGCGATAGTTTACTAGCTGGGAGTTATGGGTCGGTCGATCGAAGCGGCTCTTAGAGCGAACAACGGGAGCCTGCTTCTTATTGGGAGCCGTGTTTTCTCTTTTTCTCACTTTTTCTCTTCATGCCGCATGTAGACCCGTAGTTTGACAGCAGCAGCAGCTGAAAACGAAACTTTCAGAAATCTGCGTGTGCATAGGATAAAAAAAAGTGCGTATTTGGCTGCAGTTCAGCATAAAATGAATAAACCAGGACTAATCTTGGGCTCGAGTGCAGGAGAGAGATAGAAACCGAGTCCCGACACTCAGTCCTGGTTCAGTTCTGGTTTAGTCCTGCTTGCAACAAAACAATCTCAAGAGTCGCTTGGGAGCCGAAAGAGCCAGCTGCTTTAGTGAGCCGAGCCAAAAGAGCCGGTTCTCAAAAAAAACAAACTGGAATCTCCATCACTAGTAGCTAGAATGTGATGCAAAAATGCCATTAGGCCAATCTACTGTATGTAAATATGATGTAAAGAGTCAAAATAACAATAAATGTTGCCTAAATAAACCCAATTTAGAATTCACTAGAGCCAAACCTAAGTTTTTTAATCAATTCAAGATTTACGGTGAATTTTTACATCACTAAATATATCGGTGATTATATCGGCTATCGGCAGCTCCAAGTCCCATTATATCGGTTTCATATCGGCCACAACAAAATCCATATCGGTCGGGCTCTATACGATATATAAGACGATATACAAAAATCAATTATACAAGAGGAAAAAATACAAATATACTTGGATAAAATAAAATGTAAAATATTGTCTGGCATCATTATTATTATTATAGTGATGTTCATTTGGTTTATTTTGAGTCCATTTAGTTTTGTGTGTATGATATTTTTGGTCAGAATAATGCTTTTAACTGTTACTCTGGATACTGACCAATTTCACTTTTTTCCTAGTTATGCAGAGAGCACCTAAACTAATGAGTCATCTTGTTTATTTTAGGAAAAACAAAATCGGGAATCAAATTTAAAGGCTCAATTGAAGTTCCGAACCTATCAGACGAGAACGACATGGAGGACCTCGATGTAAGTTTTGTAAATCAAATGTCAAAGTTCGTTCAGTGAAAATGTTCTAATTTAGTTTAATCTTTATTTAGATTTCAGTGTCGCTGAATAAAGATGAACCAGACACGCCGCTGATGAAGCTGATGAAAACCAAAGGGGTTGATAAAGTGCGAGAGGCTTTGGGCAGCTACGTGGGCTATTTAAAAACAGGTTTGTGCTAATGCTACTTCAACTTAATGTGTAATATAACACAATCAACTAATGAACGAAATAATGGCATGAGCAATAAATAAATGAATAAACATCATAAACCACATTCAAGCATATTTTAAAGGACACCTATTCTGCAAAATGGACTTTTCAGAGCTTTTAATCATTTTACAGCAGTTCCCCTGTCTCATAGTATTTTATTTTCTCAATCAGTGAAATGTGCAGCATTCAGCAGCGTAGTCCTTTTGATACGAATTTTAAAAATCTGCTGCTCGCTTGCATGATGTGCAGATATCCACAGGAGTTTCCGCTATTACGGATCTGTTGGTGGCGATATGTCACATGGGGCGATGTGGGCATGGCCTTGCAAGGACACAGCTTTAATAAACCTAACTTTTAGTTTTAAAGGTGGTATCTGTATTTCTTTTGAGTGTGTTAACTTTGTACCACATGGATGATTTAATATATGACCTTTCACTGGTTTTCTTTAGTGCAGATGAGTAAATCCACATCTCCACTTCAGACAGGGCAGAAAGGAAGCCACAGAAGAACATTTACATTTTATTTAGACAGTGTCCCCAGAGACCCTGGGACAGGTGTCTGCGCAGATGCCTGCGTGTCTGTCTCCAGAGGGCGCTCTTCTTCTGCATGTTCTGTATGAGCCATATTCACACCAGCCCCCAAAAATCCATATCACCAACTCTGTTCGTGATGTTATTTACGGCTCTCATTGGGTACCACATCTTTCTAAAGCGGAAGTCTTTAATTTCTTTAATTAAATTATTTTAGATCAGAATAATCCACAGGTGGTGCACATTTGAACTATATAGCAGACTCAAGCACAATATGTGATCTTTAAGACAAGTTTGACTTTTTTTGTTGCAGAATTTACAGCGGGAATGATCCTTCCGACGGCAAATGGTGTGTCCAAAACTCAGAGCACTTCACAATCGAAAGCCAAGAGTGATAGAACTCAGGTGGGTCAAATCTCACTTATCTTAGCTTTTATTTTTTATTTATTTTTTTATTTTCATTGTCAAAATCTGCACTGCTCTTTAGTGTGTTTAAACGTTGCCACTCATAAAGCGAGTTATAGTATAATACCTGTAATATTTAGGTATTATAGTAGGACCAAACCAGGTCCTATGTAATGAATGTAGACTTAACTTGTAACATTTAAGCTAGATATAAATTACTGCATTATGTTTTAAGAAGCCTGATCCATAAGCTTTTAAGGCTGTGCTGACTCTTAGTTTTTGTTTCTCTCCAGTTTAGTTGTGTTGTAGACCTGGTTTACTTCATTTTCTAGTGGTTTAGTCTTGGTTTTGATGTGCTCTCTGTGACGTTTAAGTATACACGACTGTTGTCTCACTTGTTCTTTTTGCAGATTTCTGGTCCATGTAACACGACGGCTCCAGCGAACACCGGAGTCAAAATCCCAACGTGTAAATTTAACATGAAAGAAACGTTTCTCACGTCTCCATCTGAGCTCTACAGGGCCTTTGTGAACCAGGAGGTCAGTACAGAACACACTATTTATTTATTTATTTTTATTCTAAACAGCTTCACCTATCTTTTATTTAAGACCTTAATCATCCATGACTATTGTAAAATCCTTGTGCCACTGTACTTACTGTATGTCACTCCAGTGAAATGAACAGGCAACACTGTTGAATCCTGTGTGTATCACCATTTTCAAAAAAGATGGAAGCACAAAGCACAGAGCAGTGGGCGGGTTTGGGGGGGATCGGTGAAAACGGGAGTAGATCAGAGCAATGACGTCACACGTGCATTAGTCAAACATGCATGACTCACTGTGAATCCATACAAGAGCGAGTAAATGAGAAGGAAAAACAACTGTTACATTGTTAAAAGGTCCATAATCAAATGTGCATATTGTCTTCTTTAAATATTCACTGAGGGGACTTGAAACCAGAAATTAAATTAGAAATACAGTTTCACTTTTTTATTCTCATTTAGATGGTCCAGGCTTTTACCCGATGTGCGGCGACAGTGGACGCAGAACGAGGAGGCAGGTTCAGACTGCTCGACGGAAATGTTTACGGTGAATTCATAGACCTGGTAAGACCACCGCCTGTTTTGTACTTGTAATATTTAAAGGTGCACTATGTAACTTTCTGGTTGGGGGTCCATCACCTGCTTGTTTCTGTGGATATGTCATTGCTCTGCCTGGAATGTTCCACAGTGTGAGATTAAACAGCTCTACCTTATATTTATTCAATTACAGGTGCTTTTAGAGCTCAAAAATACCTAGAAAAACAGACATTCTGACTGTGAGTGGGGTCACCTCTCCACAGATCTGACATGTAACTTGGTCTGGTTTGGTCTCCACATAGATAGAAAGGTTTAATGCCATACTGTGAGACATTCCAAACAAAGCAGTATCTCCATAGAGAACAGCATTTGACGAAACCCTTCACCAGAAAAGTTACACAATGCACCTTTTTAAAGCCATGTGTAGTTTCAGTGTTCTCTTCAAATGTTATCTTGACATTTTCTTAGGTCCCTGATGAGAAGATCGTGATGAGATGGCGGTTTAACAACTGGCCCTGTGGTATGTTTTATATTTTATCTTTTTAATACTGTTTTTACTGTTTTATCTTTTGAAACAGTTTGAAATGAGTGAAGATTTAAGGCTGAAATACTGAAATCGGAGTTGAGGTGTTGCAGCATTACGCATCAGCACGTGGTGACATTAGCCATTTAGTGCAGCAGCTCCTCCTTGTGGTTACATGTATTATTACGCCATAGTGTAAAAGTGCTGGTTGCACAACAAGTTATTAGGATTAGACGTTTAAAGTTATCTTTCTTTTTTTTTTTTTTTTTTTTTTTTTTTACATTATCCCAACAACAATTTTAAGACAATATTTAAAAAATGAATCAGAAATGTACTGAAATTATTCTGTAAATTTCACAGTCGAGGCTCAAATATTGAACAAAAGGTGAATGGACTGTAAAATGAACCACTAAAATGCAGAGGAATCACTTTGATTGAAGATTACATGGCAAGTTTAAATTTTATCTATTTTAATGTTATATTTTATTATAAAATAAACAAAATACTATAATAAACATGAAAAATAAGATACAAAAACATAAAACAATACATAAAACAACAAAGCTCCCAACCCTTAACCCACCTTTTCCTTTCTTTTCTTTTTTTTCCCCAACTCTTTTTGCAGCTTTTAACAATGTAAGAAAAATGACATGTTTGTCTTTTCTTGTCTGTAGATAACATTGGCTGTGGTCACATGCACATTCAAACTGATTTTATTTGATTTCTGGTGTTCAGAGATTTTAAAATAACTGCCGAAATGTTTGTCAAATGGAAAGTCGATAAAACAAGTTGGCTTCATAATGTACAGTTTTATAATTACATTTTTGAACGCATCAAAAAAAAAAGAAAATGAGCGTGAAGACTTCTCAAAGTGATGCTTTCTGGGAATCTTTCTTATGGTTCCAACGAAGCTTTTAGAGCAACGTTTTGCTGTTAATATTGACCAAATTATGATTACTCTTATCAGTTTTGTTGCATTTTACAGTTTGCATGTTCTTTATGACCTGATTTCTGGACCTTTTAAAATAATTGAATCTGCCTTTTGTCTTTCTGTATTGTGTAACTTTTCTGGTAGAGGGTCTGTCAAATGCTTTTCTCCATGGAGATGTTATTGCTTTGCCTGGAATGTTTCACAGTACGGCATTAAACCTTTTTATCTTCATAGAGACCAAACCAGACCAAGTTAAAGGCCTTTTTGGGCTATAGAAGCACCTGTAATTGTATAAATGAAAGGTTTAATGTAAGCTGTTATATATTTTTTCCCTCCAGAACATTACGCCACCATCTCCCTGACGCTTGTGGACCGCAGCAGTGAGACAGAGCTCCAGGCCGAGTTCAGAGGGGTCCCCGAGAACGAAGAGGAGCGGACGAAAGACGGATGGAAGAGATACTACTTCGAAAGCATCAAAATGACTTTTGGCTTCGGGGCACGACTTTACTGATAACACCACCTCTCCCGCCCGCTCCACTGTTTGTTTGGATTTTAAAAACAAACCGTTATCCTTGAATTTTCGTCTGTCCGCCGCTGGATCATCCGAAAAAAGACTGAAAAATGGGGAGAAACAGACGTTCACCCACCTCTGTGTATGTGTATATGTTTTAATTTGTATTTAATTCAGTGTTTTCGGATGTTTTTCCAGAAGGATCTGTGCCTTTCAGGGCGTCAGAACGAATGCGTGAAAAAAAAAGAAAAAGCTGTCTCTTATTGAACCACTCAAACATTGGCTTAAAGCTACACTGTGTAACTTTTTTGATTTCTTCATAGAGATGCCATTGCTTTGTCTGGAATATTCCACAGTATGACATTAAACAACTCTACTTTACATTTACTCTTTTACGAACACCTAGAAAAACAGGCATTGTGACTCTGAGCAGGGTCACCTCTCCACAGATCTGACCTGTAACACCATCTGGTTTGGTCTCTATGAAGATAGAAAGGTTTAATGCCATACTGTGAAACATTCCAGACAAAGCAAGAACATCTCTAGGAAGAAAAGCAGAAAAGTTACACAATGCACCTTTAAAAAAATACTCTATCTAATGCAAAGGAATACATTTTTAGTTTATTTGGTAAGTTGTTGCTTTGGAGATGTATTTTGTACACTGCTGTAGCTCTGTAGTTTTGCATGTTTCTCTTTTGGGTCGAGCAGATGGAGGAAGGATGTTTTTTTGTTTTTTTTTATATATAAAATGGGGTTGTATGGAACGTTAGTGTTAATACCTCACTTTTATTGTCAAAAGAAAATGAGATACTGAAACTAGATCCTCAATTGAACAAGAATTAATAATAAAAAAAATATTATTTAAGCAGGGCAGCCAGTCTTATACAAGCTTTCTCACATCTAACGCAAAGTCACATGGGTAATTATGGGTAGTTTTGAGATTCTAGAATGTGATGAGGCAGGTTTCTCTATTGATAACATGCAATGAGTTCACCAAAAAAATAAAAATAAATGCACAAATGCGCCATATATCATTTATAATATTTACTAAGCCCAAGAACTTTATTACAACATAACTTATTTTAGCTGCATCCCATCTGTGTTAAAGGTGCATTGTGTAACTTTTCCATCAAATACTTTTCGCCATATAGATGGTATTGCTTCATCTGGAATGTTTCACAGTATGGCATTAAACCTTTCTATCTTTACGGAGACCATACCAGACCAAGTTATAGAAGGCCAGTTTTTCTAGGAATTTTTCAGCTATAAAAGCTTTATAATAATGCAAGGTAGAAAAAGTTACACAGTGCGCCTGTAAATATTATTGATCGATAGAATGTTGTGATGTCCTATGAAACCAGCAATTGTGTTAAATAATACATTCAGTTGTCCAAAAAGAGCCCTGGTATTATCATTGTGGTATCAAAATTGAGTACTGAGCCAATTCCTTTAGTATCGACATGGAGTTTTAGTTTTGTGACAACATTATTACTTCTTTAATTAGATTTGAAGTGACAAATCAATGAAACCTTAGTGATTTGTTAAAGGGCCCATATTACACTATTATAATTAATATAATATTATTATTAATATTGTTTTTTATTCAGGATTTAATAGGATTGTGTGGAAATGACCTCTGATACCTTCTGACCTGTGCTCTAGTGTAGTTTCCTCATCACAAACAGACCTGGAGTTGTTTTGTTTCATTCACATGTTTAATACACAAACCCTACAGATTTACACCACTGAGTACTTCTCTCAATCAGAAAACACTCTGTTAAACCTTGTGATGTACTGTAGTAATACAGGAAGTGCTCCACTGTGTTTTTAAACTCTATTCACCTTCACTAGAATCATTTGGATGATTTCAGACCTGGAATTTCTCATTTCTACTAAACAAAAGATGAAAACACTACCGCTTCATGACATCACAAGGTGGAGCAGAGTATTTTGACATTTAGAGATGTAGACAGACAGTTAATAAAGAGTTACTCAACCATGTGTGAATGAAACAAAAGACAAATCCAGGTCTGTTTTTGAGGAGGAAACAGCATTAAAACATGACTTGAAGCTTACAAAAGTAATTTTTGTATAATATAGGACCTTTAATACATATAACTGACTGTAGCCCTCAGGAGTTTAACAGGCTATGTTTCCTACAACCTAGTTTCGTTAACGTTAGCAACGCAACACCTCAGGCACAGATTCAGCTCCAGGCTCAGTATAGTTTGTTTCATATTCAGGTTAACTTTCTTGTCTTGAGTCTAGTTTTCCTAGTTTGTCACCTACAATTCTCCATTTACTGTTTGCCAAAATGAGCTAAAATGTAATTCTCAGTTATCAGTCATTGATTAGGAGAAGAGCTACACAATTACAAATAAATATTGCAATAAAATATAATTCTGAAACTTACATATTCAACCATCTACAGCTCAGATCTTACCTTATTACATGAAAATGGTTAAAACTTCACCACTACTGCAAATAAATCGTACACATGATCAATACTGATCTCCAAAACATAGTTCCAGCTTTCATATATTGAACAATAAGCTGATATAGTGATTATTGTGACAAGTTTATTACTCATCATCACATTTGGAATGGATGCAATTAACAAATGGTAAAGGCTGCCATTTTGAGTACCACGCTTTCCTCCACAAACATTGAAATCTCCTGTCTTATCCTGCATAAAACCTGCTCACCCTGTAGTTTATATCTTAACAAACATGTTCTCACATATTATTCTTGTATTAGTTTTTTGACAATTCTTCCAGACTCTGTTAAAATGTAAACTTTGTACAGAATCCTTATTAAAACGTAAACCTCAGTTGAAATGCTTCTCAGAAAAGTCACATTTAGACATTTTTCACTAATAGTTCAGCCCTAAATGCACTGTAAAGCTCTCCATCAAATACTCTATAAACAAATGCAATATTATTAAAATGTATTGTATACCAAACAGATACGCACACTTTGTTTATATGAAGTAAAAGCTCTCAAACATTTATTTAACATGCAGGGACCAGGCTCTCCCTTTTACAGTCAGCTACATGTGGTCACTGCAGAAGGCTGTGTGGGTGGAGTGTCTTGCTCAAAGGCTCAACAGCAGTGTGTCACAGGATTTGAACATCTATTCTGCATTATTACTTCTTAATAATGACCAATGCTTAAGGTTAAAAATATCTGAAATAATATTACACTGTTGGTTTAAGATGCAGTGTGACTAGGTTTTATAGACAAGAAATGTTCAAATAAAATGTCTAATGGTTCTGTATTACACACAATTAGGGTGACCAGATTTTTCAAATCCAAACTGGTACACACCTGGGTTGGGTTGGTATAAATAAAACTGTGTAAAGAGTGTGTAAGATTATGCATGCTCATGTCAGTCATGATCTGAGGGGCTTTTGTCACTGCATTTATTTTATTTTTTTTGCTTTATGGTCATTTGCAAACACATTGAAACAAATGACAATTTATGCTCCTCTTAACTGTTGGCAGGAACCAGATTAGTCAAAAATTGTGTCCTGAGACCTGATGTAGTCCTGGTTTAGTTCTAGTTTAGTCCTGTTTTAGACCTGGTTTAGATCAAATTGGTCAGAAAATAGGGACAAGACATTTCTTGAATAAAACTGGGACAAATCACTGGTTTTGTATAAATCTGCAGGGACAAAGGACACAGGGCTCAACAACTGGGATTGTCCCGGGTAAATAGGAACGTCTGGTCACTCTACACAAAATGGACTCTTTTAGCCATGTTATAATGTTACATCCTCAAAAACATACCTGGAGTTTGAGTAACCCTTTATTAATTTGTCTATATCTCCAAAGTTCAAAATGCTCCTTGTGATGTCATGACGCAGTAGTTTTCAAGTCAACCTTTACTTTTACTTTCTTACTTTTTTCAGTAGAGTTGTCGGCAGTTCCAGGGCTGAAATGATCCAAATGATTCTAGTGAAGATGTGTGGAGTTTAAAAACACAGTGGAGCACTTCCTGTATTACCACAAGACATCACAAGGTGGAACAGAGTGTAAATATGCCTAATTCTGCATGGTTTGTGTGTTAAACATGTGTGAATGAAACAAAACACAACTCCAGGTCTGTTTGTTATGAGGAAACTACATGACAACAGAGATCACAAGGTCTAATAAGATGATAAGAGATCATTTCCATACAACCCTATTAAAACTTGAATAACTTTGATATTGTTCACAGCAGTTCACCTTTACTGTACAGACATTTTGTTTCTTTGTCCTAAATACTGTGTTTTCTGTCACGTATCATATTTGTTCATATTTGTGTAAAATTTGAGATCTGCGGGTTAGCTAGCGTTAGCATTAGCTAGCGTTAGCATTAGCGTTTGCATCAGCGTCAAGTCAAAGAGTTATATTGGCTTAAAAATGTACATTTAGACAGATTTATTCAAGTTAAAGCTTCACAAAATGTACAAATGATATTAGGGAATAAACAATAATGTCTGCTTTTTGTTTTATTTATGTGAGCATGATTATTCAGTTTATAACATTAAATTTTTCAAGCCACAAAAATTCGGGCTTTATTTTTTAATCTTATATATTTACATTTCATTAGTTTCCTGTCTCTAAAACACATATTTACAAGTGCTCTAAAAGCTAAATGCACAACTAAATTTAGCGTAACAAGCACTCTGGTTTTAAAGAGGACTGAAATACACTTTTCACATCTTGTTTAGAAAATCAAAACAAAAACTCTACTTTTTAGCCAAACTTACATTTTAAAACAAGATGCAAGATGTCTGTGTTTTTCTACAAATTAATTACATAAACTCAGAAAGAAGAAAAAGAAAAAAAAATCTAATTCATCAATATTTCAGTTCTTTAAAACAGAAAATTAAAGAGCAGTTATTTCCCAAGCAATGAACCACTGAAACTTCTGTACCATGAATTATAACTTAATAATAGCAACATTTCATAACATAAATAATAATAATATACACAACTATATATGAAAAGGTCACATAGGTCGATTTTTATAAAAGTCACTCAAAGACAAATCACAAGCTCAGGCTCCTGAAAGAGGAAAAAAGAGATTAAAAACTAAATAAATACATTTAAATGCTGAGAGTACCACTTATAATATGTGCGCTTTAATTAGCCTTAAGCTTAAGCATGAAGGAAGACTTAACTCAGTAGTGTATAGTTTTGAGTCACACTTTTGTATATTTATGGGAAATGGATGATGTGGGGTTGTGGACTGAACATTTATAGAAGGCGTGAGCTTGTACTGCTAACCGGGAGAGATCACTAGATTACTCAAACATGCATGGATGACACACACACACACACACACTAATATATGTGTGTGTATGTCATCCATATATATTATATATATATATATATATATATATATATATATATATATATATAATATATATACACATTATATATAACCTCTTCAGGCATGTTTTTGATGAGGGAACATTATAAAATGGCAGAAAGCTCCTAGGAGAGGGTGACCAGAATTTTAAAATAAAAACTGGGACATCCCCGGTTGTTGGGTGGTTGGGAATAATAAAACTGTGAAACAAATGTGTAATTACAGAGAATTGTTATGCAGAGGCCATTCCTGATGTAACATGTGAGTCATAAGTATAGTCACATTTTCTTTGTGTTTTGGACATTTCTAAGCAGTTTTTCTGTATTTTATCTAAACAAATGACAATTTATGTCTCTCTTTACTGTTGGCAGGATCAGATTGGTCAAAAATAGAGACACTTGGGGCATTCCTTGTATAGAACTGGGACAAATAAGTGGTTTTGGAAAAATCTGCTGGGGCAGGGGACACAGGGCTCTAAACTCAGACTGTCCTGGGTAAATAGGGACATGTGGTCAGTTACCCTATTCTAGGAGTTAAAGTATTAGTTACTATTATTCATAAGATTCTATTTTCAGACCAAGAGTTTGTCTTCATACCTGACAGTTTCAACTGGTCACTAGCAGTCTTCCTCAGAGTGGTCATGTCATGTTGCAGTAACATGTCCGGTCAGCTGATTAACACAGGTTTTGGCGCCGTCTTCCTACCAACGGAGGCAGGAAGACAGTGCCAAAACGAAAACGGAACCTAACATAAATTATCAGAAGCCCAAATGAACTTCATTGGACTAGTTAGTTACTGAGCTTGAATCATTCTATCAGTTCTTTGTTCATTATGAGTTAAGTCTTTGTTCATGCTTTATTAAGGCTGTTAAAAGCATTTATTATAAAGTATTACGATGCTAAGCGAATCAAACTTTTGAAAGTACAAAAAGTGGACCAGTGTGTAACTCTGCCTGTCCACAGCTGCTCAGGAACATCGTGAAGTTTAGTCACTTACACTGGAGTCGTAGTCATCATTGAGTGAGTCTAAACTCTGTCGTGGAGCCGTTTCTTTCACCTCTGGTTTCTTCTTCACAGGAATCTCATGATGTGACAGCCTCAAAAACACAAGGTGAAACACGTGAAAATAAAATAAAATAAAATTTATTTAAAAATTAATTATTATTTAGGCAAAGCAATGTCCACTGTAAATAAATGAAAACGGCTTGAAGTTTTTAAATGTGCACTCTGAGCTGAATTTACATTTTTAAAGCTATACTATGTAACTTTCCAGGTGGGAGTAGGTCACATAACTGCTTGGCTCCATGGATATGTCATTACTTCGCTAAGAATGTGCCAGAGTATGGCATTAAACATAACTATCTTGCATTTGCTGATGGTGTCGCTCACTTTAATGCCATACTGTGGAAGATTCCAGACAAAGAAATAACATCTCCATGGAGACAAGTAGGTGACAAACCCGTCTCCACCAGAAAAAGCTACACAGTGCACCTTTAAAAAACTAAATTGTCACTGTAGAACTACTTACTTATTTACCTTGCCTTTTTTTCCCCTAATGCATAGGCTCACCTGTAAAAAGGCTCTGTTGGTTTCTTTACAGAATTCTCATGATGTGACGACCTAAAAACAAACCAAAAATAACATTTTAAAATGGTCAAAGTACATTTCTCCAATCCAACTTATACAAATACATTTCTATAGCACATTTTATAAACAAGAAAGTTTCCAAAAGTCAGCAGAATTATGTTTCAGGGAAAAGAAACATACAAAAACAGTAGATAAAAAAATAATAAAATCAATAAATAAAAGCAGTATTGAAAGAAATAATATAGATAAAACAATAAATAAATTTAAAAAGTAAATAAATAAAAGACACAAATGACCACATAACTCATGCAGTGTTAAAAGCCGGAGAATAAGGTGAAGCTACGAGACAGAGTAGTAGTCCTGCAGTCCGTAGTTTCACCTGTACAGGGGCCAGATGCTCATGTTTTTGGGATCTTTCTTCTGAGCTGTTGACATTTGCTCCAGTAAATCCAACAGGAAGTGGAACAGTCTCTCCGACTCAATGCACTGCCTCCTGGAGACAAAATATATTTATCATTTTAACACAAAATACATCGACTTGAAATTATATTAAGCACAAATAATATTCAAGAGCCGACTTACATGTGAGCGACCGACAGCACCGTGCTTAACTTGGACTGTGTGATTAAAAAGGTTTTAGTCAGAAGAGCTTTTAGGAACATCTCCAGAGCTCGAGCTGAGGCCTGCGGTTTAGAATTCACGACTTTCATATGACATCACAAGGTGGAACAGAGTGTTTGTGTGTGAAACTTGTGAATGAAACAAAACACAACTCCAGCTCTGTTTGGAGTTGTGTTTTGTTCACTGGGTTCCCAGTGTTGGGAAGGTTACTTTTAAAATGTATTCCCCTACAGATTACAGATTACATAGCTCAAAATGTAGTTTGTAACGTAATCCATTAAATTACTTAAAGTGAGTAATCTGAATACTTTGGATTACTTGATATTGTCATGCTTTTTAAAACGACATGAATGTAGCAACCACATCCTGAAAATTCATGTTTGTTTTCTTCAAATTCTTTGTTGAGCCCAAGTCTCCATGAACAGACTTTTGTTTACTGTAGAGAAGCAAAGACAAGGAAATCTTAATTTATAATGTTTTGTTTGCTTAAAGAGAATAAAAAGTCTTTCCTTAACCAGATTAAAAATATTATTGATAGAGAAATGATTTGTTTATGAGATCACCTTAAATTATGTCCACCTACTGTTCGGTGTCATATTGTTTATTTAAAAAGAAAATCACTTTCAGTACAAACATAAAGGCACCAGCCCAGTAAAAATCTGTAATACTGGATCTTTTTTACTCAAAATGATGCAGAGTCAGATTATTATCAACACTGATTATTAACGACCTCGTCCATTGTGTGACTGATGCACCAATGTTAAGATGTTTACGTCGCTCTTATTGCCATGTTCTGTTTGGGTTTCCAGCAATGAGTGGAGTTACTGAAATAAAAAAAATAAAAAAAATGGGATATAGCCCAAAATGTGAAAACAGGAAAATAATGCCATGTAATCCATTTATTTCAACAAAGTAACTGTAATCCAATTACCACTCACTGAAACAGTAACTGTAACTGAATACAGTTACTCATAATTTGTACTCTGATTACATAACTGGTACATGTAATCTGTTACTCCCCAACACTGTTTATACCATCGATGAGAAAATCAGGTAACACATGTTTTATCCTTCATATTTCCATAATAAAGGATACAGATGAGGACGGGTACGGCCATCGCGATCCTTCCCACCTCTGTGTCCTTCTGCATGATCTTTTTAACGCGCCCCTGCCAAAACAAACAGCCCTGTCAGCAGTGGTGCAACAAGATGTAAAAGTACAGACACAAAGGTAAAACGTTACTCAAGTAGAACTAAAAGTATCACATGAAATAATCTACTGAAGTACCTGTTTAAGAATGTACTTTAAGAGTAAAAAGTAAAACTATTTTGCAGAGACTTTTACAATAATTTAAGAGAATTTAGCTGATTTTAAGTGATTCAATAGATTTCTTTTTTTTTTAAGTCTCAGCCATTTCAGCAGGTTACAAACCATAAAGAAAAGTACTTTTACGTGAAATGTAGTAAAGTACAAAGTACATATACCTGCTCTTAAATGTAGTGAAGTAAAATAAAAAGTATTCACTGTAAAATTTACATAAAGGTGCATTGTGTAACTTTTCTGGTGGAGGATC